GCAGGACTATACAGTACATTTTTACCCTGGTGCAAACTGGAATCTTGTTCAAATTTGCCGAGCCCAGAATGTATTAGTTTGGTTTTGGCTTAGGATGTTGCAAGAACACAGGCAGTTGCAGCTTATTCAGCAAAAGAAAATTAAGCAGGCCATGCCATAGCACCATGTGTGAACCAGGTCTCTGTCTGCAGGGCTGCATACAGAGGCACCCAGTACAAACCATGATGATATCATTTGCATCATGAACATCTCTTGTTCCCTTGCTACAAGAACTGTAGAACTTTTGTACAGAATAATCTCTTTGACATTTTGGCTCTTGAGCTATACATTTCTATCAGATTATTTCCAGTGATATATGTCCTAACAGGCAATGTCCTGTATTCTGATTTGTCAGTTACTTTATTTAATGAAATTTAAATTAAGTGTATTTTAATTGCAGCAAATTATTTAATTTTAGTCAGAAGTACTGACATTTCTCATACGGGTGGTTGACTGCATGTACTGAAAAAGATTTCTAGCAATGTTTTTATACACATATCGCTATATTTAACAGTACAATACATATTTATTTATAATAAAGAATGGAAAAGAAGGCCAAGCAGCATTGCAGTTAAAGGAAACAATGAAATAGGCACACATAAAGAACAGTCATAGCCATGTTGACTGAGCAAGGAGGGGGAATAATTTGACTGATACCAAGCATGTGAAAGCTTCTGAATTCTCCAGAACTTTTCATTAGGTAAGATGTCAAAAAAAAAAAAAAAAAAAACAGAGCACAAGAGAGAACTGAGAAGGTCCCCAAAGCCAAATGTTTAAACCATGAAGCCTTCAGCTCAGCATCATCCTGAAGATGGAGATGGTGAACTGAATGTCTATTTAGTGCTGCAGGTCGTACCTAATCTTCAGGGGGAGAGAATTCTGAAAACACAAAGCCAATTAGCAACTCTGCCATATCAGGTTTGCAACACTCTAGATGACCACTAGGTGGATCAGTTTTGCAGTTCAGATACAGTAAGCCTAATAATAAATATATAAAATTATCTTCTTCAGGTAGATTGCATCCTACTTCTTGGCCATTTTTCTTGATGAACAGTTCTAGAGAACCTGAAAACCTACACAGACTTTTATGCCATTTTTAAAAATCCCCATAAAGTTATTACCTTCTGGTTTTTGAATTTTAGAATAAAAACATGGGAGGTAGTTGGATTATCAGGGTGAAGTGCTTATACAAGCAACTGTACATATAAGACATACATTTAATTTCCTTGATTTAACACTGAAATCCCCACAGCACCTTTGATTGTTGTCCTGGGTACTGAAATCTCAGCACCATGAAGAAGAGCAGATTGGGGACAGCTGACCTAATCAGTGAGTGGGTTCAACTGTGTTCTAAACTATCATAGTTTCTTTGGATTTATCTTAAGACAATGTGTAAACCCATCTACTGTACCTTGTAAAACATGGTTTATGGCTTAACTATGAATCTATCCACTGTGGCTTATTCCACAAGCCACACATACAAATCATGACTGAATGTGATGAGTAAGTATCTGCAGGAAAAAAGCTACTTTAAGCTTTATTTGCCTATGAATACCAAGATGATAGAGCAGGATGAATTGAGTGATTGAGACTTTCTAATCAGAGGGATCAGTTTTCCGGTGTTTTATCAGATATTGAATATTATAATATCCTTTGATTTGAATTGAATAAAATTGACAAACTGAATCTGAAACAAATCCTAACATTAGTGCAATCCAAAGTTCCTACCCTGCTCGATTACTGCGATGTTAAGGAGTCATGCCTAATAGTGTGCCCTGCTCAAAAGTAAGAATTTGAAGCACTCTGACCTAGATACCAAAATGCAGGCTAACCAGGAATCCTGAATATAGTTGTATGGAACAAGGTACAGTGGGGCAAAAAAGTATTTAGTCAGCCACCAATTGTGCAAGTTCTCCCACTTAAAAAGATGAGAGAGGCCTGTAATTTTCTTTAAAAATTCTTTAAAAATCAGACAATGTGATTTTCTGGATTTTCTCCCCCCATTTGTTTCTCTAGCTTTGAGGATTGCTGCGATGATAGTTACATGAC